TGAAATCCAGTTTTTCCAACACCATTTATTAAATAGGCTATCTTTCCTCCAATGAGGGTGTTTGGCTCCTTTGTCAAAGATGAGGTGGCTGAGTATATCTGTAGTTATTTCTGTATCTTCTAATCTATTCCACTGATCTTCGGAGTGTAAGTTATTATATCTCTCTTACCAGATTCTTCTTGGTCATAGCACTTTATTCTCAAAATCAAAGCATAAATAATGCATAAAATACATTTTGTCTATATCACATGCACACACATGCACACACACACAAGCACACACTAACATTACTCAATCATAATGACCAACAAATTGCAAAGAAAAGTGCTCACAACATATTAAACTCTTCAGACTAAGAAAAACACCTAATAATCCATGCTTCAAAAATCCTCTTGAAACAGCTGCGTTCAGCAAAACAAACTTGACCGTGGGAGTGCAAGGAGGCCAGGCCCTCACAGTGTATGTGGTGCTAAGTGCCTCGGTGGTAAAACCCAAGGCACTGTGCTGTAGATGTAGAAACCGAGCCTTGCAGAGATTAGGAATGCAGAAGAGACATTGTTCGCACTAGCAGGACAGAACTAGACTGGAATCCAGGTCTTCCAACCTAATGTCTTCTGACTCCCAAATACTTCTGCCACTTGACCATGCCGAGTAATAATAGATCCCTTTCACTATACCTAGTTAAGAAAACAATGCCAGGGATTTAGCTCAGTGGTTCTGCTGCCTGCCTCAAAAGTGCAAGGTCCCGAGTTCGATCCCCAGTACCAAAAATAGAAAGAAAACAAAATAGATGATTAGATCAAATAGCAAGAATAGTTTCATTACTCATTCTGTGCTTACTGAGCAACCCCTGGGTGTGACTAGTGAGGGAAAGGCTAAAGAAAATAGATCTTTGTCCCTGAGAGAAATCAAAATAGGGCACCCCAAAATATATTTCCTTAGCATCCTTCAAGTTGGCTGTTCAGAGAAACTACAGACTTCTGCAGACGAGGGAATAGCTCTGAAAAGTGGTCCTTCTGTGAAAAGAGTTTGACATCCATCTGCATCCGTAAACAGCACTGCAGACAGAAGGTTTTCTGTGTGATATCCCTCCCTCTCTCCACCTAGGAAAGATCTTTCCACAGGAAAAGATTGGCGGGTCTGACACCCAGCCCACAGGCAACCTTATGATGACTGTTACCTGTTACCTGTGAGACTGCATCTCTATGATAAGAAAAACTTTGTTTTTAGGTCCTGAGGATTGAACCCAGGGCCTTCACACTAAGCTACATCCACAGCCCTTTATTTTTCATTTTGAGACAGTGTCTTGCTAAGTTGCCCAGGGTGGGCTCAAACTTGTTACTTTCCTGCTTCAGCCACCCCGAGTGCTGGAATTACAAGGGTGCACCACTGCACCCCACGGTAAAACAAACTTTGTTCACTACATTTCTTACCCTGATTTCTCCAGTCAGGTCACAGCTTAGTTTCAGCCAGTGACATGGAATTTAGAGTAGATGACTCCTTCTTGGGTTTTAGCCTATTCTCCTAGGGCCCAGTGCAACTGCGTCATCCAAAACAATGGCTTCTTATACTTTTTTTTTTCCTGGCACCGTGGATCAAACTCAGGACCTCACACTTGCCAGGCAGGCACAGAACCACTGAGCTAAGTCCCCGGCCCTCCTATACTTGTTATTTAACATATATAAGAGAGAGAGAAAACTTTAAACTTCCCTTCATCCTATATGAGAGTCGTTTGTAAGAGCAGGGATGTGGCTAGGCTGGGGACACAAGGCCATGGGTTCAGTTCCCAGAACCACAGAGAGACATGGGGTGGGGAGAGAGAGATGGCTATGAGCAGAAAAAATGCTCAGAGAAGGGCCGGGGATTTAGCGCAGTGGTTTTGCCGCCTGCTGCGCAAGCGAAAGGACCCAAGTTCAATCCCCAGTACCAAAAAGGAAAAAAAAGATAAATTAGAGACATTTGCTGGGGATTTAGCTCAGTGGTTCCACTGACTGCCTCACAAGCCAAGGACCTGAGTTTGATCCCCGGTACCAAAAAAAAAAAATGCTCAGAGACTCTTACAAAGTGATAACAATCCTCTATGAATTATAACCTAAATGCTATTTCAGGGAAATGCAAAAAAATTGCATTGAAATACAGTCTCACCCCCTCAGAATGGCTGGGTGAATACAAAAACTAAATGCTGGGCCGGGGATTTAGCTCAGTGGTTCCGACACCTGCCTCAAAAGCACAAGGTCCCAAGTTTGATCCCCAGTACCAAAAAAAAAAACAACTCAATGCTGGCAGGGTTAGGGAGGGGAACCCTTCTACACAGCTGTTAGGGATGTAAGTTAGTACAGCCACTACGGTTATCAGCATGGAGGTCCTCAAAACACTACAAGTAGATCCAGTTATACCACTGCTTGGGTGAGGAGTGTGGCTAGTATATGTAAGGTCCTGGGTTCAATCCCTAGCACCAAAACCAAGCCAACCCAAAACAACCACTCCTTGGTATATACCCGAAGAATTAATCACCGTATTACAGGAATAGTTGCATACCTACATTTATTGCAGCACAATTTACAACAGCCAAGACATGAATCCAACCTAGATGCCCATCAACAGATGAAGGGATAAAAAAAGTGGTATATGTACATAATGTAGTGTGACTCAGCCATAACGAAGAATGAAATCCTGTCATTGGCCAGAAAATGGATGGATCTGGAGACGATTTTGTTGAGTGAAATAAGCCGGATTCAGAAAGACAAATTTTGAATTTCTCCCTCATATATGAAATCTGAAAAGATGACAAGTGGAGGAGGGACTATTATTAGATAAAGGCAGGGAGTAAGAGAGAGGGAGAGGAGTGTATGGCCGGTAATAGGGGATATGAGCAAATTACATTATACACATTGAAGCCCCCCCAAAATGTGAAACTAGGCTGGGGATGGGGGTAACGGGGAGGGGTGAAAACAATCAAATCATACTTTGTGCATGTACGAATCTGCCAAAATGGAACCCATTAATCCAGATAATTGATTTTTAAAAAGAGTGAAAACAACACCAAAATGCTATTTCATATTTCAATGTCTCTGGAAGCATTTCAAATCAATTGAATGCTGTAGTTACTTGGTAGTATTTGTTTTCTTTCTTGGCAGTACATAAAATAACAATGCCTCTTAGAATCCATGGCATTTTAGAGTTAAGAAAGCATGAAATAATTAAGTGGCAATTTATTTTACAGCAGTGAACAAGCATTTGTTTGTCAGAAAGTAAATCTTTTTTATGCACAGTTAATAAAGTTAGTATTTGTTTCCACAAAATGAGAGGTCATTATTGATCGTTTCTGCCTGGCTTGGGCTCTACTTTCTCTTCTCAGCAGGCGGAGACGTAACAAGGTCCCTTAGATTGGTTCAGAGAGTACTCCATAAATCACACTAGTAATTCAGTTACCAATTTCACGTGACAACCATATTCGCGCCATTAAATCAATCGAGTAAAAGTGCATAGGCAAATGTCACATGAGCAAATATCACGACAAAGGGGACCGTACAGTGCCCACAGATGCAGCGTTTGAAATGTGCTTTCGAGGAAGCCAAACTCTCAGAGACGGGGACGCTGTCCAGGCTGAAGGATCCATGTGACACAAGGAATATTTGGAAAGCATTTGCAAATGCAGAGGTAGAGATCAGTCTATGGAAGCTCAGCATGACAGGGCACAACAAAGCATTATGGGCATTGACACCACGGGCATGAGTTCAAATCCCGGACAAGTCACACTGTGTGAAGTTACTTCTTTATTTTGGGCTTCTGTTTCCTCTTTTCCAGAATGGTTTCTAAAATACTACTTTTTTAGTGGTGTGAGCTTGGCCTGGAGCAGACAATAAATGTTAATAATATTGGCTAGAAAGTTATGTATAGGAGTAAGTGAGCGAAGCTATGGCTTGGAAGTACGGTGGGATCTGTGGTTAAAACGGACTGTAGGAAAGCAAGCATTGGAAACAAGTTAAGAGGCTTTTTTTTTTTGGTACCGGGGATCGAACTCGGGTTCTTTCACTTGCGAGGCAGGCGGCGGAACCACTGAGTTAAATCCCCGGCCCGAGGCTTTTTTTTTTTTTTTTTTTTTTTTTTTTCTCTTTTTTTTGGTAGCGGGTATTGAACTCTCTGAGGCTTTTTCAACCTGCTATCAGAGAGGTAACCCGGCCGTAAGCAGCTGGAGACGGAGTAGCCCCGCCCACGGCTCCGCCCACCGCGTCCCGGCCGCGCGGTGCGTCCCGCCCACACACCCCCGAGCGCAGTTCCTGTGGGCGGAGCCCGCGGAGGCCCTGCCCCGTTCCCCCCAGTTCCCCGCCGCCCCTGCTCTCCCGCTGCTCCGCACCCGAGTCCGCCGGGGGTGGGTCCCGATCGCCGCGGCGACATGTTGGGCATGATCAGGAACTCGCTGTTTGGGAGCGTGGAGACGTGGCCGTGGCAGGTCCTGAGCACCGGGGGCAAGGTAGGCCGGTCCGGCCGGGCTGGCTCAGGGAGAGCGGGTGGCAGCGGCCCCGGAGTGCGGTGGGCCCGGCCTCTCCAGCTGGCACCTGGAGCCGGGAAGGAGGGGAGTCAGAGGCCCGTGCAGCCAGAGGAGGGGGCAGCACAGAGGCTGATCAGCGGGGAGCGCCCGTGGGGAGAGCTGGACGCCGCCTGTTGGATGCGCTCCTTTTTAAGCATACTGATCGGTGGTGTTTTGCTGGTTGAGAGACCCTGTTGCAGAAATGACTGACAGAGCCCTAGCTGGCAAAAACTAAATAAAAATCCTCCCGGATAATGGAGAACTGACATTGAGGAACAAGGGCCTTGCCCCATAGACCTGGGCTGGGTGGAGCTCGTGGAAGAAACAGGCGGTTCTGCCGGGGGGCTATGGGGCCTTCACAGAAGGAGGGCCCAGAGCTAGGCCAGGCTGTACCAGAGCCCGGCATTGCTCGGAGAGCACGCGCAAAGGCCCGGGGCTGCAGTTCCTTTGGGCCAGTAGCACTGCTAGAGTGAGTGAGGAGGGATAATTGCTGGATTTCTCCAGCTTTACATCAGTGCCAAAACGCGAAAATGGGGCTGCCTCCCTGAACACAAGCAGTTCCACGGTTATATTCTCCTTGCAGACAGGTGCTTTGTACAGCGAGGCTGTCTAGGAGCTCCCAGCACGCCGCCTCTCATTTGTTAAAGGCCCATGTTACCCAGGCACCAAGTTCTGGGACTTAGCACAATGATTATCACTCAAAAGCCCTGAACTCTATACTGGACTCTTCAACCCAACAGTGGCCCGTCACTCATCTGTCCCTGCCTCAGTCTCCTCAGCTGTGTGTAGAATGAGCTGCTTCAGCCCTGATGGAGGGTGACACATTCAGTGCCCACAGCCGCCAGGCAGAGGATGGAAATGATGGAAGCTGGCAGCCCTGGATTGTAGGGCACGGTGGGGACCGAGGCAGACCGAGAGAGGCCTTGGGCCCCCTTCTGTAAAGAGGGACTCCCTCCAGCCACCGCCGCGAAGTGATGCCCCCCTCAGGGCCAGTGTTACCAGATTTGTAAGGAGAACTAGATATCCAAATTCTTGATGGGAAATTTCCCAATTTGAAATTAATTAATTCAACAATTTTTGAATTTAATTCAACTATTTTTGAGTGCCAAACTATGTACTTGATAACTCTTGCAGGCAGTGGAGGTAAGGAATGGACGAAACCAACAAATCCCTGCCCTCATCCAGCTTATGCTTTAGCTAATGGATGAAGAAATGATGTGTCCGGAATCAGGTGGCGATTAGTGCTGTGAAGAACAGCAGATAAGCCTGGGGAGGTAGCTTGAGGTGAAGCAAGGCTCTAGGTTCCTTCCCCAGCACACACACAAAAAGGAAATAAAGTAAAGCAAGTAGGAAAGGAAGAATGAGGTAAGTAAGGTATAGGGAGGATTAGGGTGAGGCTGTAGCTTTTGAGTAGGACGGCAATGGTATAAATTGCTGGCAGCGGACTAAGGTGCTCATAAGCACTGCAGGGATCCTGTCTGAGCCAGATCACGCCTTTGATCCCTGCCCTGGTGCAGGTTGCCATGGTTCTAACAGTGCCCATGTGATCAGCAGCTCTGAGAGCGGCCCCTCTCCATAGTGAACGGGGCTCACTTGGTCTTTGGGGGTTAATGGCAACCAGGAGTACAGATGGAAGGCCTGGGCTGTTCTGTGGCTGGTGCCTTCAGCTTCCTTCACCCCTTCCCAGCTTTGCTGTCTGTCTCAGTGTAAAGTCAGGGCTCCCTGGGGCAGTTTCCCAGGCTCAGATAAACAGCTGGCTCCCAGCTAGGTTTACACAGTAAGCAGCACTAGTCAGAGAAAGAAAGAAGGGAGAAACCATGGTACTTCCTCTTTCTGCCCCTCTGTCGGGTCTTTTAACACTAGGAGCTTCTAACTCGGTGGCTTTGCCTTCTGTATACAGATGTCCATGGTTAGCTTTCACCAGGTGACCTGGGCATCTGAGCTCAGGTAACAGGTAAACCTCCTCTGTCTGTCCTAGGGAGCTTCCTAACCTCTCGGTTGCCTCCTTGTCCCCTGCTTGACATCTCCACTCTTCTGTTATCTGTGTAACCAGTTCCTTGCATCATAGTACCTGTCTTCTGAACACTACTAGTTTCTATTTCCTATTTGAGCCTTACTGATACAGTACCACCTGCCACTGACTTAGTGCCTTAGGGATAAATCCAGTACCCTAATAAGCATTTCCCTCAACACTTGATGGGACTGGGGGACCCAATGGGGTATGATATAACATCATACTGTTAGCAGGCTGAAGCAGATCATTTGGCCCAATGAACCTGTTTTTGCAGCTGTAGAATGAAAATAAAAATATCTCTCATCTCCTCCAAAGTTACTATGAATATTAAATTTTAATGAAAAGATTTTGCAGTGCTGGGGATAAAAATGTTTTACAAACACTATAGTACACTCTACATACATAGTGATATAATTACTTCAGAACTCTCAGCTCCACAGTTATTAGCTGTGTAGCCTCAGACAACTCAATCTCTCTGAAGCTAATCACGAGAGAAAGGAACAGGTCTTCCCTTTGAAGACTGTTACAAATGTTTTGAAGTTTGAATGAGATGACTGTATACATTGATCAACAGGCGCCAGGCAGTTCACTGGGCACAGTAACTGTTCGCTTGCCCTTCGTCTTAGTGGTACTGGTGAGCGAGTTACTTAACATCTCAACCACTCTGGACCCTCAGATTCCTCAACTCTGAGAAGAGAGTGACCATGCCAGTGTGACAAATATTCAAAAGTACATGTAACGCTTTTTAAATATACAAGGTCAGAGTGTTATTATTTTGAAGAGAGCCTCCCCCTGAAATTATCTCCTTTGTCCTGCAAAGGGACTAGGCGGCACACTGTGTCCCCATGCAGATGTTCAGGACTGACTCGGGGCATAGTGATTCCACACAGACCTTATCAGGTGCCTGCTACATTGCTTGGGGAGGGAAGTGGGTAGGCAGCTCCCTGTGCTGGGTTGAGTGAGCCCTGCGAATGCCCAGAACAGAAGTGATACTGATGATGGACACCTGTATTGGACTTGTGTCCAGCCTGTGCAAATAGGTTAGGACCCAGTAGCCTGGATTTGAATCCACTATTTGCCCCCTAAAACTTGAGTATGTTACTCAACCTCTTGCTCCCCTAAAAATGAAGATTAAAGTAGTTTCTTCACAGGGTGGCTGGAAGAATTGAATGAATTTATGTAAGGTGATTAGAATAATAACAGGTACATAGAAAGCATTCCATTAGTTGGTATTATTAATATTTTTCTTTTTGAGATAGGATCTTGTTAAGTTGTCCAGGCTGGCCTTGAACTCACGATCCTCCTGCCTCAGGCTCCCAGGTTGATGTATTACAGGCATATGCCATCACACTTGGCTTTAATATTTTCTTACAATGAGAAATCAGGCTTCCCAAATTAACACATGCAGTGTAGCCACCATGTCAAGTGGCCACAAGAAATCTGACCTTGCAGAGAACTTGCAATCCCATAGCGAGACGCATTCTCACAAGATCTCTCTGGGGCCCCCACTTCACCAAGGTTTCCAGTACACATTAAAAATTGGTGTTTATGACCCTGACTGACTGGAAGCATAGCTAACTGGGGATGGGGTGAAGGAAAGCTGCTCTGTTTCCGTCCAACAAGAATATCCACCAAAATGTTAAATTTTATCTGGGCACAGTGGCGCATTTCTCTAATTCTGGCTAGTCGGGAGGCTGAAGGAGGAGGGTCACAGGTTTCAGGCCAGCCTGGGCAACTTAGCAAGACCTGGACTCGAAAGAAAGAAAGAAAATTTAAAAAGAAAGAAAGGAAAAAAAGGACTGAGAATGTAGCTCAGTGGTGGAGCCCTGGCCTAGCATGTGCAAGGCCCTGGGTTCAATTCCCAATACAAAAAATAAGATAAAATAGAGAGAGAGAGATGTTAAATTTTGAGAACCAATACTATGTTCACATAGGTGCCTTATTCTTTGCAGAAATAGAAAACTAGTGAAATAAATTCAAATAGAGCTCCCTGGAGAACTAGAATAGTTTTATCATATCCACATCTCAGATCTAAATTTTCATAGTGGTTCAAATGAGAGGTTATGGACAGGGACACTATGAAAACAGGTGGTGCCGACCTGCAGGAGACCTGGTTTAAGACAGCAGGAGCCAACTTTTCTCCAGGAGACCTGCCCAGACTAAGCTCTCATCCCTCCTGGTGGCTATAGCTATTTGTAATCCTTTCATTAGAGCAAAACCAGGTTTCACTCCGAGCCCTCTTCCCAACAATGCTTATACAATACACAGGACAGGTATAGCTACAGTCCTGACCCCGTAGGACTTATGGTTGCGGATGGGATTAAAGACAATCCTGTTTAATTGTAACCACAGTAAGTTAGTCATGAAAGTACAAAGCTTTATACAAATATCACGGTGAGCCTGTTTTAGATTAGGGGCCACTGTGCAGAAGTAACCTGCAGGCTGGAACCTGTTGAATGTGTAGAGGCTAAGGGAGGAACAGTTAAGCAGGAAGACACCCCAGGCAGAAGCAGCTGCAGGTACAGAGGCCCTGGCCCTGGAATGACCAGGATTTAAAGGAAATAGGAGAAGTCCAGTGAGGAAGTGTGGGTGTGGCTGGCAGGGCAGGTAGAAGCTGGGTGGTGGAACCCGGATCATCTGGGTGGATTAAACACTCAATGAATGAAGACTCTGGGCAGGGTATTCAATGATACAGAATGCCCTGCATAGGCTCCCCGGGCAGCCTTCAGCACATGCGGAGCCTCAGACTTCCTTCTGCTGGTGGCTGCCAGATTTACATTTCTCCGTGGCAGCTTCCCTCTGAGCTCCAGACCCCCGTGTCCAGTTGCCCAAAGGAGAGCTTGGTTCATGCAAGAGGAGGCTGATGAATGGACAAATGTGAGGGCCCTCCTAGCTCTGGAATTAGCTAACTTTTGGAGTTCATAGAAAGGAAATGTCACTCGCGGAGGGAGGAGGAAGAGTTGAGTTCAACCTTAAGGTCTTCCTCCGGGGCCTCGGCTCTCTGAGTCAAACTAGGTTCCTTTCCCAGCGGCCTTACTTTCCTTGCTGTGGACTTTCTGCCTGGGGAGTGGGCTGAGGGTGCGGATTACTTGTTACTTCCTGCTCTAGGGACCCTCAGAGGGTCACATACACTTCAGTGTCCTGTTTAGATCACAAAACTCAGTTGAACTAATTTAGAGGAGATGAAACTGGCCTGCTGTCAGGTCACCATGACTGACCAATGGCTACAAGGTCCACATCCCGAGACAGCCCGGAGCCCCATTGGGATCTGGCCCCTGCAGAACCTCAGGCCTCCTCCTCCTCCATGTCCTCCTGACAGTCTTAGCTCCAGCCAGCCACACTGAACTTCTTGTATCCTTCACCTTCCTCATACTGTCCTTGACCTCTCCCATTTTAGCACTCACTACTGGAGTCCCTTCCCTAAACTCTCAGCATCTCCTGTGTTGTGTAATCATCCTTTGTGTGTTCCTTCCCACCACCCTCCTCATTCTCCATGTCATATTAATCTCCACGTCTGTAGCCTCTGGCAGAAGTTTTCAGTCGTGTTTATTTAATGAATCCATGAAACAATGGCTGAACATCTGCGAGGGGGTCGGTCTGGAAGGCCCTCAGAGTCTGTGTGACAAACACCCACACGTGAGGGTCGCAGAGGAGCCTAAGCAGCTCTTTCCTTTGCCCTGCGCTGCCCTGGCGCTCCTCCCCCTAGTAGGGAGGCTCCTCCCCTGTTGGACTGGCCCTTTCCTGATGTCCTTCATCTCTGTATTTCGGCCTCTGGCACAGTGTTCACACGTTGCCAGTGCTGAGGGCTTGTTGGTTGAATGCATTAAAAGGGAAAGAAAGACCAAAGAAAAGAGCCAGTTGGCTGCTTCTCCAGTAAGTGCTTATTGCTGGAGTCCCCATTTATACAAGAAGTAACTGCATAAAATCATTCAGAGCTTTGTCCTGAGCTCGACACGGGCATACTAATGCCTCTTCAACCAACACAGTGACTAAGGAGAAGCAAAACGCTCAATCTACCCCCACAGTTGTAGAAAGTCTTGCACCATTAAGAGTGCGGTTTGGGACACTAATCCTAATTCCCAGTTTCACCATTTAGTAGCTGGGTCATCTTGAGCAATCCAATCCACCTGGTTACTCATTTCCTCTTTGTTAAAGTGACCTGGATTAGGTGAGCTTTAGAACTGCTCATAGTTCTGAACTCTGTTGATTCACAGGGCAGGCAGCACTTCTAAAATTTGAAACATTACAAGTAGGAAGATAAGTCCTCAAATAAAAGGAGAGTTCTGGAATTCTCTGCTGTGGAAGAGCCAGAAGGAACAAACCACTCTGAGTTTACGGAAGTTTGCTCACCATGGCTCTTTGGAAGCACCAGCCTTCCTTGGAATTGCTAAGCCCAGAGTCCCAAGGTCAGAGCTGATTTTTGCCACTTGATTCTTGGTCTGGTGCCATTCCTCCTACCCAGGTGCAGGGAAGTTGAAGCATGAAATTGTCACTCAGGGTTTGCTTTCAGATGTCTCCAGCCTCTCTCACTGCTTTCCTTTAATTTCACATTACAAAAACAGCTTTGGCTGTTCACTTTGGCAGCACATATACAAAAACAACAGGTATTTTTACATTCCAAGTATAAAGTTGTAAGATTAAATATACTTATTCGGACTACACAGTCCACTCGAAGCCCCACCCCCCTAGCTTTCTCCAGAGATCCTTTGTGTGCCCCTGGGAATCACATTGTCGTCCCTAGTTGAGAATCGTCAGACCACAATATCATAGGATGGCCTATTTGACCAAAGTGGGGAGGCTGGGTCCTCTATTATGTATCCATTTTTCATAATCATCACTAGCAGAGACATCCCCTTAATCAAATAAATATCTATTGAGCGGCTGTCATATAAAACTCTGTGGTATAGTTCCTGTCTACAAAGACTTTATTGCAGATTTTTCAAACTACAACAGTGTTCCTTTACCAGAGAGTAAAATCAATATCGACCAACTTTTCCTCTTTTAGTGCAATAGAATAAAATTCACTCAAGCAGAGTGGAAGTAAACAGGAAAGAAAGGAAAAATTCATAATGCGGCCCATCCCTAAAGACAGAGTATTATTTTTGCCAAACTTCATTTCAAGCATGGGTATATTCATGGTAAGGCATCATGGAGAAATGTCTTTCTGGTTGTGGATTGTGGGAATTTTTTTTTTTTTTTTTGAGTTTGAGAAACATTGCCTTACTGAGTGTCCAGGAACATAAAATTGGATTCTAGGAAACATCACATGGGCAAGGAGAAGGGGGTGGGGTGCTGAGGGGAGCCACATGGGTTTTTTTGAGCCTAAACACCAGGGAAAAGTGCATGATCTTGGGACAGAGACTCGGTGCAGAGTGTGTAGGGGAGGAAGGGTTTGTGTGGGGAGAGGCCGCGGAGCTGAGCAGTAAGAGGTCGGGAGGCTGTGATAGAGTGAGTCAAGAGATAGGGAGAGGTATAACTGGATCAAGTGGTATTTCTATGTTTAGTTTCTCGAGGAATCCCCATACTGATTTCCATAGTGGTTACACTAGTTTATATTCCCACCAGTGATACAGGAAGGTTCATTGTTGTGGATATTCCAAAAGAATTAAGGACTGCATACTATAATGATACATGCACACCCATGCTTATAGCAGCACTGTTCACAATAGCTGAGCTGGGGGAACAGCCTGGATGCCAGGCAACAAATGAATGGATAAAGAAAATATGGCAGTGGAAATATAGTGGACTATTACTCAGCCATAAAGAAGAATGAAATCAGGTTCTTTGCAGGAAAATAGATAGACCTAGCAAACATGTTGCATGTAATTAGTCAGATTCTTTAAAATTGCATGTTTTCTCTTATATGAGAAACCTAACAATATATAAATTAATAAACAAGTAAATAAATAAAGGAAGGATGACAGGATACCATCAGGTCGTCTTTTGGAGACGAAGAGGAAGGAGAAAGGGAGAGAGCTTGTAACGGTATCAAAGATGATCAAGATACATTCGATGCATGTGCCAGTTTCCCAGAACAAATCCCACCACTCTGCAATATTAACATGCACTAATAAAAAAGCAAGGGAGAGGAAGGCCTGGAGGTGTAGCTCAGTGGCAGAGCACATGATCAGCGTGAGGCCCTGGGCTCAGTCCCCAGCACCAAACAAACAGAGTTGGGGAGGAGTCACTGTCCTGGAGCGTGGGTCAGCAGAGCTACTCTGAATTGCAGCTCTGCTGCTAGGACGAAACTCATCCTGGGGCCCTTGAGTCCTGTGTGATTGTTGTCATTGTCTTTCTGTGTTTCCTCTCCTTACTTTGTCCTCCTCCTCTCCCTCTTCCTCTCCTCCATCTCCTCCTCCTCCTCTTCTCCCCATTCCTTTTCCTCTTCTTTTTCCTGGCTCTCCTTTTACTCAGATGTTGGATCCCTGGGCTTGATCCTCTGATTTCTTTCCTTTTCCACTTTTTTACTTCTTTACTTGACTTGACAGATTTCCCGCAACTTTATCTTTCAGCCTTTCTGTGGAAATTCTCATTTCTGTTACTAAAATATTTTTAAGAGCTCTTTTGATTTCTGAATGTTCCATTTTATAACGTTCCAGTGTTTTCCAATGCAGTATCTTATCTCCCTGAGAAAATTATTTTAACAAATTTTTTTCAGCTTCTGGTGTTGTCTCCACAGGTGTAAGACTCCCAGAATCTATTTCTCATGGCCCAGCGCACTCTTCTGCGTTGTTACCACACCCATTCTGTAAAGCCCCTTAGGGTTTGTGCTTCCTGTCGCTGGACCACTGCTACTTCTGGGGATAACACGGTCTGCTGCTCTGTCCCTCTCAAGCTGTGTCTCCTGTACCTCTAGGAAGACCTCTCCTATGAAGAGAGAGCCTGTGATGGAGGGAAGTTTGCCACAGTGGAAGTGACAAATAAGCCCGTGGATGAGGCCCTCCGGGAAGCAATGCCCAAGGTCATGAAGTATGTGGGGGGCACCAATGACAAGGGTGAGTACCCCTGAGGGACAGGCCTGGTCTGAGAGGGCAGCTTTGCATGATCTCACTTCACCTATAGGAAACATGGGGACAGGGCTGGGAGGCAGCTGTGATGTCCTGCCTCAGGAAGCGCTGGAGAGACCACTCCCACCTCACCCCTCCCCTCACTGTAGGGAGCCCTTGCTGTATCACTCAGTTCCCGGTTCTTTCCCAAGTATGGAGCCATCTGCCATCCACACAGGTATTTTTTTTTCTTATTCTGTTTTTGCCAGTATTGGGGATTGAACCCCAGGCCTTCACACTGAGCTGTGTCCCAGCCTTTTTTTAATTTTTTTATTTTGAGACAGGGTCTCACTAAGTTGCCCAGACTGTGCTGGAATGTGAGATCCTCCTGCCTCAGCCACCCAGAGTGCTAGGATTACAAGCCTGACCACCACACCCAGCTTGTCAGTTTTCTTTTTTTTTAAACCCTACAGTGTTGGTTGTGTCTTTGGATTGGTCGGTCATCCACGGTAAACTGAGCCCCAGTGTAAAGCAAGGCCGACATCCAACTTGGGTCCTCAGCCACCAGGGAACTGAGTGAATCTTAAGTGTTAAGGTCCCAAACTCTCCTCTGGCAAGCGAAGGGCGTGAGGACTCTCAGACCATCTCACTCCTAAAGACTTGTCCATGCTGACTGCTTCCCCGCCTTTAAAATAATAGACCTGAAGTTTCATGTGTCCCAGGGCGGGGATCAGTCCTCCGACTGCCTAGAAAGGGGGACAGCGAGGGCTAAGAAAGAAAGAAAGACAGTAGAGACTTGAGTAATTTCAAAGTACATGGTGGGCCGGGAGGTCAATGCCTCAGAGTGGGCAAAGACAAAGACTCTCTGAGCTCGCCACTATTTCCTGGGTGCACACAATAATGAGAGGGAGCATCGGGTGACTCACAGGGCAGTGGTGATGCTACGTTGATGAGGATCTTAGATCACGAGGATCTTATGTTGATGAAGACAGTAAGGAGAGCATTCTTACAATAGTAGGTGGAACAAGACAGCAGGCTAATAAAGAATTTGTTCTACCCCCAGGTGAAACTTTCTCTCTTTTTTTTATTACTACTGGGTTCTGGAAGAACCAGGATGTCTTCAGCTGATGTACTCTTGCCCTTGAGCATCACAGCATCACAGGACCACTGAAGCCTCAACTTGTGACCAGAGGCAAAATGGAGCTAGGTTTCCGCATGCCATAGCCGGCTCGAGGGCGAGAAGACATGGGCCGTAGACAGTCCTAATCATAATTTAACTATGAAACGATTTTTCCCCAAAATTTATGTAGAATGTCTCTCGACATCATTTAAGGTGTGCCTGCTGGAATAGAAACTATATTTTTAAATGTTGACCTCTTAGGGACCTCACTGATTTGTGCAGCTTTTGGAATCACTGCGAACTAAATATGAGTCAGGAAGTTAGGTGAAAAAAAAGAGAGATGTTGGACTTAATTTTTAGGATATTTCTCAAGCTGATAATCTAGAAAGAAACCGGTACGAACCATAGTAATATTTTCTAGGAGCAAAGTAATCAGATTTTGCAAAATATGTTGACCAGTAGGAAGTCAAAAGAAGAAATCTTTTCCTCTTAATGCTGTTTATAACATCTTTTTAGATGAAAATATGTCTAAAAATTATAATACTAAAGAAAATTGTGAAAATAACAAAATAGCCATCTCTAAACTATTCCAAGTGCAGTCATTGCCTTTTTAACATATTACTTTAGGGATTTTTAGTGTGATCTTAATTGTATATTTTAATTCTATATAATTATTTTCTACTAATACTAAGTAGTCTTAAGAATAATTTAACTGCATTATATTGCACAATGTATCCATAATTGCCTTAGACATATTTCTGTTTTGAACAGAATAATAAATTTTGCTGTGGTAAATGTTCTATTACCTATAGCCTTTTCAATATTTTGTATTATTTCCTTTAAATTGATTAAAATTTATATTTACATAGGAAGTAATTAGATACTGATATCTGCATTCTCTTTTTTTTGGTACTGGGGATCAAACTTAGGACCTTGTGCTTGCAAAGCAGGCGCGGCGCCACTGAGCTAAATCCCTGGCCCTCTACATTCTTGATGTATGTATGTATGTACATATATATATTTGGGGGGGCGTTCTGGGACTCAAACTCGGGGCCTTGAGCTTGCCAGACAGAGTAGCTGCACTACTGAGCTACATTCCCGGCCCTCTTGATGTATGTTAGCAAATAATTTTTTCAAGAAATGTACCACCACACTGCAACCTCCAATGTATAAAATAAAAAGTGTTTTCAAATGTCTAACTATATTTATATCTCTCTATCTAGATATCTAGATAGAGAAAGAGAGAGATTTTGAGGTATTAGGGATTGAACCCAGGGCCTTCACACCAAGCTACATTCTCAGTTTTTTTGGTTTTCTGGGGGGTTTTTTTGATGAGGCATCTAAATCACTAGGTTTCCCAGGCTATGTTCTAATTTACTGTTCTCCTCCCTCAGCCTCCCAAAGTGCTGGAATTACAAGCGGGTGCCATCACACCGAGCTTGCCTGTATATTTTTAGTACCTGAAATGTTCATTGTTAACTTCAAGAACAACAGCAACAAAAAGAAAAATGTTGCTATGAAACAAAAATGAGACCAGTGATCCTCCACTCCCGGAGCAAGCTCTGTCCCTAATGCCCACTGCACTGTGTTTTTACATTGTCAGGAATTGGGATGGGGATGACAGTCCCTATTTCCTTCGCCGTGTTCCCCAATGAAGACGGCTCCCTTCAGAAGAAATTAAAAGTCTGGTTCCGGATTCCGAACCAATTCCAGAGCGACCCACCAGTTCCCAGTGACGACAGCATCAAGATTGAGGAGAGGGAGAGCATCACTGTCTACTCCACGTAAGAAGACAGTTCCTTTGGCACCATGGGCCACCCTTGCTTCCCACAGCCCCTCCTTGAATCATCCTCAGTGAGATTTGCATTGGTTTTTTTCTTGCTGCCAAATTAATTCAAGTAAGAAATACTGAATCCTGACAATCATGTGTTTATTGTTTGGGCCCCAGGCTCCCCCTCAGATACCAAGTCTCTTCTAGATGATCAGTGACTCCCTGTTCTGAAAATCCTGCTGTGTGACAGGCACCAAACTCGGTACAGGGGAAGGCTAGGATCTTCAGTACTAACCGGAGGTTGGGGTTTGGTTCTCCTCTCGAAAATCCTCATGAAAGGGAACTATACAAACACTCTTGTACTGGACATCGTTTTGGTCCCCTCGCAGGGACCTCCAGACTTGGTCATCTGGCTTCCCTGCTCCAACTCTGCCCCTGTCGATGAGGGCGGTTCCCCGGAGTTAGCACTGCCTAGGCCTCAGAACGTGAGCTTGTCCTCATTATTAGGCCAGGCCGCCACAGAGCCCCCTAGCGGTGAGGGTGTGTAATGCAGGTGTGCCGCTGACTCACGAGCCTGTACTCCTATACTTCTTTATACTCCAGCCCTTATTCAGAGTTCCCAGCCTTCAGTGAAGACGCTGCAGAGGAAGCAGACTAATTAAACAGTGTCTTCTCCCAGGGGAGGGACTAGGGTAGGGAACTGAGGCACCTCGGATTGAAAATTTAAGGAAGTACTCATTCTCACAGCCATCAGAGTGCAGGGCGGGCCCTGAAGTGAGTGCCTCCTTAAAACCTGCACCCTGGATATCTGCTTGTCTTGCCTTCATTTCTGCTCAGAGTTTCCCATTCTTCTTCCTGTCCTTTGAGAGGCAGCCTGGTGCCATATGATGAGTATTTTAAGTGTGATTTGCCAGCTTCGCTGTTTAGTACCAGGAGGATGATGTAAAACTTTAGTGTTCTCCCCATTAAGTGTGAATAATATAACCTACCTCAAGGGATTGTTAAAGAATAACAATAACATTGGGACAACAATATTTAGTATTTACTACAATATTATTTACAAATTGATTTTTCTGTCCTGTAGTGGATGTCAGTAATTATTCTTTCTCTTTGCCCCTTCTTATTTCATAAGGAATGGGGTTCGCACTATTAAATCAGCTCAAATAAGGCTTCTCACAGATGGGCCTGGTCTCTAATCATTTGTTCTACCAGACATGGAGTAATGAGTTATTACAATTGTTTTCTTTTGTCTTTAAGCTTTTGAATGAAAACTTTCAACTTATAAGAAAGTAGGAAGAATAAGATAATGAAACCACACCTACCCATCACTCATCGCTGATCCTTGATCAACTTGGGAAAGTTTTGATGTAGATATGGCACCACCCTGGATTATTTTTAGGCAAATTCCAGACATTGTATTATTTTGCTCATAAATATTTTTGTGTGATGACTGAAGATTTAAAAAATATAATCACAGTAATTTACTGCTTCTAAAATTTTAACAGTAACTTGTTCATGTTTTAGTAATATAAAGTACCCAGTGTTCAGGTTTCTCCTGTGGGCTCACAGTTTGTTTAAATCTGGATCCAAGTAGGATCCATCCGTGGCACTGGTTCAGCACAGGTTTCAGCTTTTGTAATCTGGACCTTTCCTCGCCACAGTGCTGCCTCACTTTTCCTTGCTGTGTGTGATTCTCTGGTCCTTTTCTTTCCCACGGCCTCGATTTTGAGGATTACGTTGGTGGTACTTTAACATGTCCTCCTCTGTTGCCTGTAAATTAGATCTTAGAACCAGATGTGTTCAGATTCAGGTTTTAGGGTTTGGAACAAGAATATTTCCTAGGTGGCAGTGTGTAGCCCACCCATCCGGTGTCCTCTGTCGTGATCAGAGTAAAGAGAAATAATTCCTTCCTGGATGGCTTGTCCCATTCGAGCTAGTGCAATGGGAATGTTCTCTCTGTTTCCTTCTTCATTGATCAGCAGGAATATCCAGTAAGAAGTTTCCCTCATCTCCTGTTTGGTTCTGCTGAGGTAGAGTCAGAAGAAGCAAGATACAAATGAGGAACCAAGGAACTGTGGCACACGCCTGTAAATCCCAGCTCTCTGGGAGGCTGAGGCAGGAGGATTACAGTTTTAAGCCCAAACTGAGCAATTTAGTGACGTAGTGCGACTCTATCTCAAAAAAAGATTTTTTTTTTAACTTTTAAAAATGTGAGGTAGCTCAGTATGAAAGCCCTAGGTTCAATCCCCAGTACTGTAAAAAAAAAATAAATAAGAGAAAGCAAGATATGTGCTAATGCCTTCTCTTCACTAACCAGTTTTCAGACAAATAATTTCATTTTTTTAACATCCTCCAAAAGTGAGTAGGCTTCACCTTTGTTTTGTTTTGTTTTGTTTTTTGAGTGTCAAGTAACATAAATTCAAATATTCTTGATGTGTTTCCCATTCTTTGCAATTATTACTCTTATTGCTCCTCAAATTGTCCCACTTGTGGCCAGTGGTTCTTTAGTTATTTTGACCCAACTCTGGTAGCTTTTTTGCTTGCAAGCACGTCTTAACTATTTCTTGCTGTAGAGCTGGGATCAGCCATTTCTGGGTAATGGTATCTATTTAAAAGATAGATTGAGGGCCGGGGATTTAGCTCAGTGGTTTCGCCGCCTGCTGCACAAGCGCAAGGACCAGAGTTCAATCCCTGGTACCAAAAAAAAAAAAAGATTGAACCCAGATCTGTTGAAGTTTCCTTTTAATTCTCTGAAATCGAGAACGATGATAGTACCAAATTTGGTGTTTAGCCGGCTCTGTGAATTTTTTATTTCAATTTGATACAATTCTAACTTTTTATGTGGTAATTCCTCAACCAGCCACTGGGTGTCACTGCACAGTCAAGTGTACATTTAAACGTCGCTTACAGTAATTTGTAGTATTTCTGATTGTTAGGAGCATTACCGAGGTGATAGAAAGCAACAGTACTGTTTCACATACGAAGGTACATTTCAAATAATGTAGCGAGTGCATTCTATGACAGACCTAATTCTAAAATGAAAGCCTTGCATCCTTAATTAAGTCTTTTTTTATGGTCTTGTAAAAAAAATGTCTACAAAAGATTTATACATTTATTAGCAGCACTAATTACCAGCACTATTTAGATAAATAAAGTGCTGTGGAAAATAGCACTATCAGAATACATGTACCATACTATCCCCAAGAGGCAGTAGAATTATCCTCACACTTAGACCAGGGGTGACGTTGTAGACTACTGTCCTCCCTCCATGTTCTAGAAAAGTTCCATGAAGGTTAGGGCTCAGCATCCAGTACTGGGTTCTCAGCAGGCCCACAGCAGGAGAGTGGGTGGCTTTAGTGAAACTCACCATCTTCATGAAATGTCTGAATATAACAGAAAGAGTTGGAAAACATGAGTTTATTGTCAGGGTGGCCGGTGCTATGACCCAAACTAACCACTTCATGGCAGTAAGACCACTGGCATGTTACCAGGCAGGCCTCTTGGTGCCTCAGTTTCCTCCTCTGTAAGATAGGTGAGAGTACACATAGCCCATTGGATGAAATGGGATCATATCTGTAAATGCCCACATAGTGCTAGACATGAGGTAGACATTCAGAACATTTTAGCCTATTTTCTTCTTGACATCACCTCCCGCTGAAAATTAAAGTTTTATTAGAAAAACAGCAGCAAAAAAGTCAAGGATACAGTAGATGCACGTTTTTAACCCTCAATTCTAATAAGTACATGCTTTACAACTTTGGGCAACTTGTCTAATCTTTCAGAGCCTCAGTCCCCTTATCTATAAAAATAGGACTTCCAAGGCATTGTGGTGAGGGCCAGTGAAGTTATCCTTGTGAAAGAGCCTGGTCGGGTAAGAGTTCCTTGAATTTCAGTGTCGTTTCTCCCTTTGAATGACCAGGCCCTAATGGAGGCCTCCTGCACTTGGGAAGTTTGAAATTGAAAAAGAGACATTTGGGAGGACCCCATCCCCTAAACCTCTGAGGGTCCCCATGTTACCAAGATCAAGAGAGCTGCAGACCAGCGTTGGCCCAAGTTCCTAGTGAATTCCAACACCAGCGCTGCAGGGAGTTTGAAAGTCCTATTCAGTCCCTGCTTATTTTCTTCTCTCACTTCAAACTTAAATGGGCCTAACGTGACCATTCTATCAAAAAGAGCACCCTGTCCTTTTCTGTGCCTTTACATTGCTTTATTTTCCTTTGTTCCACTCCTCTCCCTCGCATTATATACCTGTCTGTTCACTTGTTCACTGCCCTCTCCCCAGTTAGAATGCAGGCTCCCTGGGGGCAGGGCTGTGGGCTGGGATCTAAAAAGTGCTCAGTAAATGAACAACAGGCCTTAGTCCTTTCTTCTGCTGCACTCTCTCTCCTAACGATCTTGGGTCCCCAACAGAGCTTCAGCTGTCACCCATCCATTGGTGATGAATGGTTTATCATTTCATCAAACTTAGCATGAAGACTAAGGTGAAATCATCAACTCATTCATTCAAAAACAATGGACTCATTGTTCATTTACTTTGAACCAGGAACAGTTTAGGTGCTGAACCTAAAACAGAGAACAAAAGTCTCTGCCCTTTGAAGTAGGAAAAATATCATATGTAGGGAAAACAGACAAAAAAGCAAATATCTCAGGGTAGCTAAGGACTGTTTTACCAGAGAAAGAACTGTTGTCCACATTTTTGAAATTAGAAGAAGGCAGACTTCTATCCAAAAACAAAAGCATTGGGGGCAACTCTAAAATGGACTGAGTTGGAGGTCGCGAAGTCCTTGTCCCCAGAGGAGCTTAGGCAGCATCTGGATAGGCACGTGACATTCTGCTGGATCCCGGGACATTTGGAGGCTTGGTTCGATCTCACAGATGTTTACTGATTACCTCTAATATTTAAGCCACCTCACGTCTAAAAGCCTTGACAGTGACAAGTGTCTGCATCTGAAACTTAGTTGATCACCATGTCGTTGCCCCTGTGTCCAGTCCTTGTGCCACAGTCCTTCACAGACTCATTCTCGGAAAGGCCTCGGTCACCGAGTGGGTGGGGTGGCACCCAGCACATGCAGAGCCACCCTTCCTCCCAAGCCTTGCACCCCAGCTGGCCGGGAGACTTCAGCACAGGCGTCTCCCCAAGTAGCTCCCACATCAACGGGGCCCCTGACAGAACTCAGGGCTCTTCCCCTAGTCTCATCCCTTTCTGTGCCCATCTTACTTACGTTCCCCTCCATCCTCCTGCCCACCTGGTTCTAATGCTCTGACTCTTTCACCTTCTACTCCCAATTATTGGCCCAGTCCTGTCACCTCCCCACTGTCCCTGCCTTCCCATCCCCGTGTCACAGGTCTTCATTGTTTCTTTGCTGGACAGTTGTCCTGGCCCTGTGATGGGTTTCCAGCTCCCCACCACTGCCTCTTCTGATTTATCCTTTTACATCACCAGCCTCAAAGCGCAGGACCAGTTGTGTCGCCACTCCCTGCTCAGACACAGGGGCCGCCCAGCCCTGGCCACAGGCCTGGCCCTGACCTCCCTACATGTGCACACTGGGACCTCAGCCTGGGCTGGTAATGAGATACTCCGTTGCCCTGAGGAGAGAGATGACGTGAGGTTCCCTCGGTGTTTAATCAGGAAATGAAGCCGAGTAAAAATGCCCATCGTGGCACTCGCTGCCCTGCAGCACATAGCCCCACTCCCGCTGCGCATAGATCTCAGCATCCCAGCCCTCGGCCCCCAGCCTCTTGCAGACCTTTGCTCAGAGCCCCAGCTCCTCTCCACCCTGTCCCTACCTCTGCTTCTCAGAAGTTCTGTGCGGACAGAATCCTGTCACACTGCTCGCGCCAGCATCAAGAAGAGATGCTCAGTCTGTAACTGCTTAGCATCCTGTCCTTCAGAGCCATTCCCAGCCACAACCAGAGACTCCCTGTTCCCTGTCCCCAACATTCTACCTGTGCCTTCTCTCTGCCTCCTCAGCCCTGTTTCCTTCTGTCCATCAGAGTCCATGTGTGCTTCTGTCCTGACCTCTCTGGCTGGACCTCAGAGGCATAGAAATGCATCCTGAATCATCACCGTGAGTCCCAGCTGTGCTCTGTGCTCTGTGCCTAGAGGTGTCCCGCTCAGTAGCACTGGCTCCGTGTGGCTGATGAAAAGCACACAGTCAGGCCCCTGCTGCTGATGTGACGACGCCCACATGCTGCTCTGACCCTCCTCCTGCCTCACACACGGCTGTGTGCACCGCTGACTCCGTGCACGTTGGTGCTGACCTGTTGGTTGCTAAAGGTTCAGACAAAGTTGGACAGTCACATTCAGAGTCACTCCATTTTGCTTCCTCCCTCACCGTGTGAGGCACCAGCCACTTCCTGGAAGACAGCACATTGTGAATCTTTACCTCCTTGGACCAAAAGCCTGCCTCTTACACCCCATTGTGCCTGCGTCATCTCCGCACCACCACCACTTTCTAACTCTCCCAGACCTTTCGAGTTGGCTCTTTTGTGTTTTTGGAATCCTGTATGTGTGAGTGTGAGTGTGTGTGTGTGTGTGTGGTCTTTGTTCCCACGATAACCACATTTTTTGTTGGGATTTTTGGTGAGATAAAACACAGTGCTCCTTTGAAGATGGGAGTTGGAAACTTATTAACAGGCTTGGGGAAATAATGTACAAAGGAATATGTTCATTTCCTCAGAGGAGCTCAGCGCACTTTACGAGCATTCCTTAACACACTCAGAGGCGCTCATGAGTTGGGGGGCTGGAGACCCCATGAGTCCTCCTCCCAGCAGCCGAGGCAGGGAAGAACGAGGCTCTCAGCCCTGACCATAGGCTGAGTCACTGCACCTCCTGGCAGGAGGCCATGCTCCTGCTAGGATTTGGTTTTCTGCCGTGTTAGTGTGGCTCTGTGATTGGGGTTCGGGTGAGTTTATTAATTGAGCAGCAAAGACATCCATGTGTCTGTGTCCATAATTTTCCCAGCTTCATTTGTTTCCTACTAAAATGCTTCCATGATGAAGCAACAGGAAGATGTTTGTCTTCACTGCAGCATCTTGGTCTGCCTAGGAGTAAATATAAAGTATCAGAGGTTTTCTTTCTTTCCTTTCTTTTTCTTGTGCAGTTTCTGAACCCAGGGCCTAGGGCGTGCTAGGCAACGTTCTTGCACTCTAAGTTACATTCCAAGCCCTTTTTATTTTATTTTGAGACAGGGTCTCACTAAGTTATGCAGACTGGCCTCCAGCTTAGCAATCCTCCTGCCTCAGCTTCCCAAGTAGATGGGATTACAGGGCCCATCCCAGTAGATGGGCCACCAGGCCCAGTGAAATGGGAACTTTCTAGTACTCAATTTTAGGAACCCTAAATTCAGGATTGCGTCCTCCCTGTCACTCTCCGCTGGATCTCCTGCTTCTCGGACAGCCCTTCCCAGTGTCCCCTGCCAAGGGCACCCCTCGGGTGGTAGGAAGGATTCCCAGCATCCGTCCTCTATACTTCGCTTCACTCCTCACCATGACTCCACCTGGGACCCGAGCGGCGGGATGCCCAAGTTCTGTCACCAAATCCACTGCTTTCCCAACGGCCTCTCTGACTCCATCCTTTACCAAGGCGAAGGAGCCTCACAGCATCAGACGCACATCTGGATGCTGAATTAGTCGTCCCAGAATATGTAAGCGTACCCCAAACCGGGTCCCGAGCACCCCTAGGTGGAGCAGCGCCCGCTCTGCAGAGCTACTCCTCAGCCCTCAGCCTCTGTTCCAGTGGGGCATCTGCTTCTTCCCAGAAGCCCTGGGGAGCCTCCCTCTCCACCTGACTCCTCCCCTCCACATCCGCAGCCTCTCACCCTGCTGTTCCCGACCTTCCCTGGCTTCCCACCATTGCTACCACCCCTCCACTGTGACTGGGGCCTCTTTGTAAACCGTCTGACCTTGTCGGTCGCCTGCTTTAAAACCTTTCCATAGGTTGAAAACTCCTTGGCGCGGCATTCACGGCCCATCTCTGTCTGGCTTCTGTTGATCCACTCTTACCCCCACTCCCACTGTCCTGTTTTTATGTGCTCAGGGTTTTCAAGCACCACCACACCCAGCTTTAGAGATTATTTAAATTACACAGAGGATATGCACTGGATATATCCAAAAGCTGTGCCATTTCGTATAAGGGAATGGAGCATCTACAAATTTTAGTATCCCAGTGGGTGGGGAGGAACCAGTGCCCATGGATACCAGGAACAACTGTGACAGTCACAGCTCCTGCTTGCTGTGGTTAGCTATGTGACGCCCACTGGCCAAGCGGTTCCCAGTCCTGTCTCCTTTAACCTTTCCACAGCCTCCTGAGATTGATGCTCTATCACCATTTCTACGTAACAAAACCAATGACCCAAAGGGTCCAGAAATTAAAGAACTTGCCTGGTACCGTGAGCTGGAAAGTGACAGCGCAGATTCGGCTTAATGAGCTGGCTGGTATTGTTCCTTATCACCCAGAACGGTTCAGTGTCACAGCGCAAGTAGGGGCTGAGGGAAACCCTCAATACCGGGTCCCACATCTGGCATCCCACTCTGTCCTGACAGGTGGTTCTCTGTCTAGATGCTCTTTGTGAGAAACACTAATGTCCTGTGGGCTTTTACTGCTAGAAAAATCCTTCCTGGCTCTTCATCCTGTCTGCTAATCCTGTGTGCCCCTGCCTAAGCCAGAGCTTAAGAAGGAAACCAGAGCTCAGCTTTCCTCACCTGCCTTGCAGTCTTTCCTCCATATATTTGAAGAACCAGTGAACTGGTGTCAGCTTCACTCCCCAATCTGAAGCTGTGGCCTGGACATGATGAGCATAACCAGTCCTTTGCAGTTGAAATCCTGCATGTTTTCACATCGGTGACCCCGTAATCAGCGTGCTGAATGCTTGCCAGGCGTGACTAACCACTTGTAAAAGAGCAAAGCATGATTCAGAGAACGCCACCAAGAATAATGCATTATTTGGCCTCATCTTGGCCTGGTGCAAATTCAGACTTTTGAGTCATAAAGCTCGTCAGAAATGCGGGTGTATTCGACTCTAATAAAGATTTTAGGGCAACCCAGATTTAGAGTGGTATATTTAGGCTATAGGATGACTTTTGGTGCAGAGGCAGATGATGTAAGGGAAGTAATAATCTCCAAAAGAAAGGTTTTATTGCTTCTCTTTCCCTAACTTCTGCCAGCAGAATTGCTTGATTTAGGAAAAGAAGATGTTCATGATTTTGTGCAGGCGAAGGGATGTATTAGAAGGGGTTTATTTGGGGGGCTATGTAACACTTGTGTGGGGTCCCTTCTGAGACTTCCTGGGTCCTGGCCTTTCTTAGCTCTGATGAATGAAGCTGCCACACATCCTTTTCTGGGGTGAGCACAGTCATTGCAGCTGCTCTGCTTTGGGAGAAACTGTAGCTCCTACCCTGTGAGCAGCAGCTCCACCTTGACTCCCGGTTGTCCCTCCTTCCTGCTGGTGACAGAGGCCAGGGAGGAGCAGGTGGGTGGAAGAAGGAGTTAAGAGAAAACAGTGGGGACCTAAGGTACCCTGGGGAACAGCTTACCATCTCTGGGAAATTGCAGCAAAGGAAGCTCACATTTAGGATGTGACTATTGTGTCTCAGGCCCTGTCATGATTATAATTTTCACTTCTGTTATTTCAGGTAATAGTCATTACTTTGGAGGAAAAAGAAAATACATGGCATTTTTTTCACAGCTGTGAAAACTTAAGCTCAGAAAGGTCAAGTCCACCCATGTGGGACGTGGCGAGTCCACAGTGCTGCCATTCTAGCGTGCTTGTCCTAGTGAGCACGGCGATGACTTCTTCTGCGGACTCCTCTCTCTCCAACGCCAGGTCCTTTCTTACCAGCCCTTGCTCTTGTCTCCTCAGGCAGTTTGGTGGCTATGCCAAGGAAGCAGACTACGTAGCTCAGGCCAGGCAGCTGCGTGCCGCCCTGGAGGGAACGGCCACCTACCGGGGCGACCTCTACTTCTGCACAGGCTATGACCCTCCCATGAAGCCGTATGGACGCCGCAATGAAGTCTGGCTGGTGAAGACATGAGTGACTCGTGGAGCCAAGAGCTCCCGGAAGTGGGCCTCAGTGGCCCCTGGCACAGGGTTGCCAGGGGCCAGAGCTTCTCAGGTTGCAGCTTCCCTTCCAAGCCCGTCACCACTGAGTTCTCTGAAATAAGCATGTTGCATACACTGAGGGTCTTTTTTGGTGGTGGGAAATAATACAGCCAAGCTAGGCAGCATCATTCTCATAGAAAATTCTGTGACAGATGAGAAAAAAACCCAGCAGTATTTTTCTCAGCCACTTGGGTCGCTGAAAACTGTTTTTTTAAATGATCGAATTTGTACTTTTGTGAGTCATTATATGATTTGTGCAGCCTTTCATCTGTGATTCTTACAAAAGCTCTATCTAAAGGAAACCAAAAATAAAAATCTTTGACTTAAGCAGCTGAGACAAAACCCAAGTATAATTATTTCCAAGGATCTAGGGGAGTGATGGCAAACCTTTTAGAGCTCTGAATGACACAAACAGCTTGCTGCAGCACGCGTGCCATAGGTGCACCAGTTGTGGGTACTGTTGACAGTGGTCACCACAGCGGGAGTCCTGTGTCAGGGTTCCAAAGGCCCCAGTGGAGAAGTATCCTTCACTGTTTCCCAGCGGACATTTACTGACTCACATAGCGCATCCATGACCATAAGGAGGGGATGGTCACATTCATGGCCATAGTCCGTGGAGGGTCCCAGGAGTCACAAAAGCAGACTTAGGAGAAAAATCACAAACAGCCCCGCAGGCAGGAAATTTGCAGGAGTATTTATTCAGCCTGCTGAGGTGAGATCAGAAAAGGCTAAGTGAAGAGGAGTGAAATAGAAGAAATGATGTGCAGCTTGGCCTGTGGAGAAGGGAAGAGGAGGCAAGGCTGTGTGCGGGAGAGAGGGGATAGCAGAGCTGGAGCAGAGCTTGGAGGGGGGGCGCCCTGGTCTTCATGGGGTGCACCCAGGCCTGGCCTGTCAACAGCCGCACCTGAGACAGTGGCAGTGACCCCCCCCAGGAGAAACCCACCACAGACCCATCTGAGTTACTTTGGGAGCAGTGAGGGCTCTGTGAGGTGCTTCTTAGGGAAAAAACAGGAACCTGAGCTGTAGCCTTCACCACGGAGGGCTCAGGTGGCATAAGTGAGGCTCCTTGAGGGACAAGGAGAGCTGCCATCGCCTCCCCTGGGGGCCGGGGCCGTTTCTGAAGATTCCCCAGCCAGACACCCAGATACGGTGACAGTCCCCACAGTCGTGAGGAGGCCCAGGTTCCCCAGCCTCACACTGAACTCAGGACCGCGACACACATGCAGCCATGGGGGCCTCAGGATGTGCCAAAAGGTTTGGAATTTTTTCCTAAGAAAACTGACAAGCATATGAATGGCTTTGAGCAGGAAACTGACTCCATCATGTTTTAGAAGGAAAATTCTGTCCACGGTATGGAAAATAGATGTGAAGGGGTGTGGCTAGGTGCAAGGTGACTGATAACAAAGCTAAGTAAAAGATGATGGTAGTCTCAACTAGGGCAATGCAGTGTGGATGGAGAGAATGAACAGTTTGGAGCAAGTGGTGGGGTCTCAGGACTTGGGGACTGATGGTGAATGAGATGAGGGAGAAGTATTCGGAGGAGATCAGAACATGTCACCCCAAGTATCCCATTTTGGCAACTTGATTATTTTCAGCTGAAGACAGTTGAGAAACAGCAAACACAGGATGGCCTCTCTGCCCTCCCCTTTCCCACCAAAAATCAGGGTGTAAATTTCCCCTGAGAAAACTGCTCACCTTGTACAACAAAGGGGAGAACATCTTTATCCCCAGAGGTGGGGAGTCAATGCCAAGATGAGTCAGTACTATCTTAGTAATGCAAACCTTATTTTCCATGAGTTCCCCTTATATGTGTCCCGGTCACTTTCCCACAATTTTCCAAGCCCCTTTGTCCTTTGTCTTATCCTGTCTCCACAATTTATTGTTCTTTGTTAAAATGGTATATGATGGGGGCCAGGGATTTAGTTCAGTGGTTCCGGTGCCTGCCTTGCAAGCTCAAGGTCCTGAGTTTGATCCCCGGTACCAAAAAAAATGGTATATGAGCCCAGGGTCTACTTGCTTCTTTCTATGAAGCAGCCCCCATGCCATATAAAAAAGATTAACATGAGATAAAATTTGTATGCTTTTTCTCCTGTGACTCTATCTTCCGTCACTTCAACTCACAGACCCCATATATGGAATTTAAGCGGGTAGGGGAAGAGTCTTCCCCTTCTACAGGGTCAAGTACAATGCCCAGAATTGTGGCTTAGACAAGTGGGTGGATAGGGCTGAGACGGGACAGCAGGCGAGAAGCAGAGTGACCAGAACGGTGTTGGGAAAGGAGGCTTGCCTTTGCAGAGCATTCAAGTGAAAACACCCAGGGGCCAACCGGAAGTATGGGTCTGACGATAAAAAAGTAAGTTATAGTGTCAGGGATTTAGCTCAGTCAAGGTCCAGTTCAGCAAAAAAAAGGTAGCTTTAGATTTATGTTTGTATGTCCTATAAAGAGAGATAGAGTAGATGAATTATGAATCCTTGAGGAAAGGCTGTAGAATAAGAAGGGGGAAATCTCAGAGAAACCCCGATGTTTAGAGAAGAGCAGTGAAAAAGAGCCTGACGACAATAAAAACAAAATGGCCAGAAGTAGAGGAGAAATGTCAGAAAACCAGAGAGAAGCAACCAGCATGTGCGAAAGTCTGCTGCCGCAAGTCCCTGGGATGGTGGCAGGCACCTCCCCATCAAGCTTCCCTAAGCTTCTACCACAGCCTCCTCCCTGATCTCCATATTTCTACTCCTCCCTCCCATTGGTCCATTTTATACAAAACATCCAGAAAGATCTTTGCTTAAAACTCTCGTTTTGCACTTAGACTAAAACTCCAACTCCATGTCACAGCCTGCAGGCCCTTGTATGAACCCTGACCACTGCTGAACTCCTTTTCTTCCTAATCAGTCTCCCTGACTGTCCCGAGCCTTGGATACACTGAAACCTTTTCAGCCCTAGGGACCTCCCAGTAGCTGTTGCCCTCTTTCCCTGAAAATAAGGCCTAGGTGGAAAACAAGCAGCCTTGAAAACTAGAGATCAAAAATGCCGCCCCTATCAGCCTATCCTTGCCTTACCTGCCATCACTATTCTCTTGCTCAGTGGCCACTCTGTAAAGCAGGAGAGGCCAGAATAGACTGGCTGCAACTGGAATATTTGATCTCTAGTTCAAGGCTGATTGTTTTCCAGCTAGGTCTTGTTTTCAGGGAAACACAGATAGTTCTCTACATAGCATCATTTTTTTCTCTTAATAACACAAACACCATTGGTAGTTTTTGGACTTGCTCATTTCCTTTCTTCTGGCCCCCACCGGATGCAGGTTTGTTAAGAAGAGGCCCGTACCTGCTGTGCTCTCCTATACATACCCTCAGCTAGCTCAGGGACGTACCATTTAGGAATGCACTAAACTGTAACAGAAAACTTAACCAACAGTAATTTACCCAAGTAAGGTTTTCTTTTTCTCGAATAGCAAGAAATATAGAGGTGGGTTTGCTGGCCTCGTGTTGGCATTTCTACAATTGTCTAGCTCTTCCCCTCAGGACAGCAAGATGGCTGGCACAGCTTCTGTCATCACATCACATTCAAGGCTAGAAAAGGAGGAGCTGCCATATCATTTCTTACCTGTCCCTATTGATGAAGAAACAAAAGCTTTTTCAGAAGTTTCTCTATCAGAGTTCCACTTGTATTTATGGGCCTGAACGGACATACAGAGCCACCCACCTACAAGGAAGATAGAGAAAGTGTGTGTTTGGGTTTTTAGCCTCTGGCGTGGGAAGCAGCAAGGGAGATGCACATACAGAAACGGCTTTGGGTAGCTAACCAAGGAGACAGAGTGTCTGGGGCCAGAGTGTAGGAGGTGAGAGTGAGCTGTGGCTCATTGCTCAGCCAGTGCACAGCTCATAGGCGCTTTGCTGCCTTCCCTCCCAGTGAACCCTGCTGTGCCCATCTCTCCTCTTCCCCCTTGACGAAGCCGAAGCAATGGCATATACGTAGTCCAGGAAAGAAGAGAGGAACGATTTTCAGCCACCTGCCCAACACTGAGGGCGTAGGGGGCGACAGGAGGATGATAGTGATTCCAGGGAAAAGGGGGTAAGGGCTAAAGAAATGAATTTTCTCTCATCTTGGATTTAATAATAAAAAACAGAACCACAGACACCAGAGTTCCTAATTACCAACCTGTGGCTAGTAAAGCAATCTTTTCCCTGATTCCCACCTACTCTCATGTCAGGGTCTTTCCCAAAACAGAAGCTGACAAAAACACCCCCGGCTGTCATCTCTCTGCTCCTCTTCCTAGGGTCTGGAACAGAGCCAATGGTTAATATTTCAGATCACTGTATAACTGAGTTGGAAAATTGTCAAGGGGAGAGTACAGTGGACCCTTGACTTACAAACTCAATTCATTCCCAAGGGCTGGTTGTAACTCAAGTTAATCAATTGAAGGCTCAGGCTCCTCTACACAACCTTTAAAGTCTCTCTCCTGCATACGGGCAGATTTCAGTGTCCTTAGAGAGATATTAGCTCAGGATTTCTTAACCCCACACAGGAAAGGATGCTGTCATGTTCCTTCCAGAACTCTCTAAGGGTTAAATTTGTATCTGAGACTATCTGGAAGCAGAAGTGGCCAGCACTCAGGTCTCAACTCAAGACTTTGGTCATAAGTTAAAAGTGAAATTCTGGTCGTAACTCAAGCTGTTCATATGTCAGGCCAGTCATAACTCGAGGGTCCACTGTCCAGGTGTCAGTGTACACCTAAACCGTGCTCTAGGCCTACTGCCCAGGGTCATGGCCTCAGGTCGGCAGCCCATTCAGAACCATGTCTATAAGAATACTTTGCCCTCCACCAGGAGCTGCCCTCCTAGGGCATTAACATTCCTTGCATTTTCGTGAGCTCCACCCAGCAGAGTTGTTCTGCATGTCCCACAGCACAATGGCACACTCATGCTTACACGGGTGTTTAAGGGGCACAGGGTGATTGTGTGTATAAACACAGGGGGACACTTGGATGAGTTCAGGGAGTTGGCTGCTCATCATCTGTTGAAGGTAGACCTCCTTAATTCCCACTTGGCTTCTCCACTCTTGAATAAGAGGACTTTGATCTTGAGCATGATAATTAAAGTTTCATAGCATGCCTCGTTGATGAATATTTATACAGTTGAATGCCTCAGACTTTGCCTTTGAATTTATATTCTTGACTAGCTCTGGGCTTTCCCCTTAGAAATATTCTTGTTTCTATAACAACATTATTCTATGGGACAATAGGGACAAACCCAAGTCACAAACGCAGAATTAAGAATCAAACTAGGTGAGGTAGAAATGCCAGTACAGACTGCAGATATGGCTAGAATTGGTGTGGGCTGTGTTGAGC